GAAGAAACAGTATACTATATCATGAATGAAAAAAAGGGAAAAATAGAGAAATCGGCGGTGAATCCCAAGACCCTACATCGATCGGTAAACCTAGGAGGCCTTCAGTGTAGAACAAGACTGTCGTGACCGAAGCGTCATATTGAATTTGTTGATAGGTTCGTGACGGAAGATCAAAAATATGATAGGTGATTTGGGTTGATTGATTGTGAGATCAGAACTACTAGTGAGTAGGAGAACAAAATAGTGTCCATCAAACCAGTGTGATTCTCTGTCGTGAGATCATTTACGACAAAGGCTCTAACTTGAACTGATATGGTAGTAAAAAGGACTTGATAATAAATAATTGAAGAAGAAAAAATGCCACAAAAATAGATAAATGAAAATAGATGACTTACTCGGTCAAAATAAGGGCAGCTACCATCAGAAATGCCATGACAAGGAAACAAAACCCATTTAATCCAATGTGTAAAAATAAAGGATAAATTGAGTTAAATAGGGCGGCGCCAAACAGAGTGCAAATTGTCTCCAGAGTCGCAACAGCAGCAAACAATGCACCTAAAAGCAAAACAAGAGGAATTTTTCAAAATAACGTGCAAGTTGGGATTCGGCAAGTGACAACGTACTCTTTTCCTTGATTTCTGGTAAATCTTAAAGTTCCAAATTTTTTCCTCTAAATAATCTTTATAGTCTCAGACAAGAGAGCAACAAGCTAAGCGGGTGAATTCTCCTCAAAATCAAAGCCCCTTTCCAAAATAATTCATCGTTAATCACTATTTTAAGATTAGTCCCATGTTCGTCATATGCAGAAGGATTTGTCTTTTTTTTCCCGAAATGCCAGTTCGGCAGATGAAAGAATATTTGTAGAGGTCGTAGATAAATTCTTAAGCTATGCATTTTTTTTACCTTGTTCATCTGGATCAACCATTTTGGACATCATGGCTCTGATAACTGGAGTTGGAATCCCACCAAGACAGGCTACAAAAGGAACTAACGCCCATTCAAGAAGTTTAGTGCTCCTTAGCGTATTATAAAGGCACAATTATCGTGCTGCTATACTTCTCTATGACCATATCATGCTCACATGTTATAGTTTTAGCTCTTTACCTAACGGTCATTTAGACCATAATTATGTGACTTGCAACGTTTTTCCATAGTTATTTGTTAACCTTTCATCTTATTAATAATAATTATTTGGCGGTATAAAGTCCACGAGGTGGCTTTTCCTGTCCATTGTTGGGTTTTTCGGAGAGAGGAAAACCGGAGGACCCAGAGGAAAAACCCTCGGAGCATTGATGAGGGTTTTTTCCTCTGGGTCCTGACGAGCATTAACAAACTCAACTTACGTGAGACACCGGGTACTGGAATTGAACCCGTGCAACAGTGGTGAGAGGCGAGTGCTCTCACTACTAAAGTCTGCGTAGGAGAATGACCGCCAGAGAGTCCCTAAGAGCTTATCCAGTTTTCAGGAGAGTTAAATGACCAAAAAGTTTGCCGGTCCCTTCTTTGTTAAGATTGTAGTCATGAAAAAAAATTCCTCCTTCTCTAGCATTTCCTTTACTATTGACTACAATTCACTTTAAATTTCCTGGCCGGGGGGGGGGGGGGGGGGGGGGGGGGGGGGGGGGGGGAAGATGAAGGCAATGGGTATGAGTATGATAAATCGTCTTTCCTGGTTAGTTCAGGGTAAGGCTCGAACCCAATCCCTCCAATCTAATCCCGGTTTTTGGAAGGGTGGACAGCGCTATTTACTGGATTAATCTTTATGAGGTGAATAGCACAGTGCGTGTTGTTAACAATTATCCATTGGACAGTGACCTATCCCTTCGATAGCGTTATGAAGTTCATTGCACTAATTCACTATAGGACCAAAACTCAAATGTTTTTCCTCCCACCCAGAATTTACAGATACTGTCAGCTATGCAAGTTGGGCCAAACTTACCAACAAACAACGCTCTCTTGCTTTTAACAAATGCCATCATAACCAGTGAACATATCACAGATATCATTCCTACTTGCATAAGAGTATGCTCTGATAAGATCATTTTTAAAAATTTCAGTCCAAGAATGGCCCCAACAGCTTGCACAAAGAAGCTCGTTGCTAGGTAATAGCCAATCAGGATAGAATTACAACACAATGGACGATCGATGGCGTAAAGTACAATGACACTGCCAAAACCAATCGAGGACACAATCATAAGGCCAGAGGTAAACATAAGTATGCACATGCGCCATCTTTCGCCAGATCTAGGGTTTGTAAAGATGCATATGATGACCCGGATGTGATGTAAACTGAACACTTTTACGTTGGAATTCTCCATTAAATGTTTCGCTCTTGACTCAGGAAGTTTTAAAACTACGTAAAACAGCGCGAAAGTGTGAAGCGATAAAATCATCATGTACGGTGCTTTGTAACCTGTTTTGTTTATTAGCCAACCGCTGCTTAAATGACTGAGCATACCGCTTATAAAGGCAGTTGCCTCTAGGATTCCGAGTCGAAAAGCACGTTGGGACTCTTCTGTAATATCTGCCACATACGAAAACACCGACAAAACCATTGTTGGGAAGAAACCACACAACCCATTTATAAATCCTGCTAAAAGTAACGTCTGGATGGGAAGATTGAACGCGATAACCCATAATATTATGGCTGACTCTATTGCACTTCCAAATATGGGTAAAGCCATCACTCTTCTTCGCCCCGCGCGGTCGGACCATGCCCCTAAAAACAGCGCGACCAAAAGTGACGGGGCACTGGCAGAGAACACCATACCGAGTTGCATAAATGAAGCTTCGGACTGAACTTCTTTTTGCATTTTTAAAGTTTCTCCATTACGAGTGGCTCGCATAGAATCGCAATTACTTAGACTAGCTGTTGTGTTATAGATAATGCCTTTCTCCTCGGCGATTCGTCGGTGGATATACTGTTGAATGACTGGGACGTGAAGAATTATCCCAAACGCATAACAAAATATCACTGGTTCAACTGTGATTTTATGGATGCAATGTTCCTCACTGCTCTTTTCCGGAAGGGACTTTGTTTCCTTTGTCATCTTAAAAGAAATTCATGGTATAAAATAGTAAAATATTGAAGAAAGACTTGGAAGTAAAAATCGCTGATCAAAATTAAGATAGCAAAAGTTTAGACCTGGGTTTACGGAATGATGAAATACACTCGCATGTCCGAGCCCGCCATTGGGAAAAGCCTGCAATTTTTTTTTATTCTAAGATGGTAAGTTAAAAAGCTAGCTTTATATTGGGAGATCTGAGTCTCTGCTTCTCATAGTCCATCGCATCGTATGGATCCATCTAAGAAAACTAAACCTTTCTCTGTTGCATGTGTACGTCCTCTAAGGAGCAAATCTCAATAAAACAATAATCTGAGAAGATAATTGCGTCGAGTCGAACTCTGATGAAATACGCCTCGTGACATAAGTTTTAGTTAGCCTTGGAACTCTTTATAGATTTTGGCTTTTACTATATGACTATGAAGAAAACCCTTAGAGAAAAATTTTTTTCGCCAGACATTGCACACGATGGTCGAATTCTACAGATATGAACTCAGAACGGTCTTGTCGTGTTGCCCCGCACCAGTGAAGCTCTCGCTCGATGACAAATCAAAAGAGTTGTCACGTGTATCAGGCCCAGTCAATAAGTAGGACAAATAGAAATATATTTTACAACGTACCTTTGAATTTATCCCATTATCTTGTACCTAAGATGACCGAAGTATTAGCGGCGACATCTTTGAAATAGTTTTGACATCCTGGCTTAGAATTATTTACAAGCTTTCATTGATCGCTCGATGTTTGTTTACGACTGTTGACCAATAGAGTCATTGCTCTTGTGTTGATCTTGAAAAGAAATTTTGCTGGTACCAGTAATTCAAAACGACAATGATTCTTGTTCCGATTGTGGCTTTATTTACCATAGTCTAGAGGTAACACTATGCAGAGAAAAAAACGTAGAAATATATACTCAGTTATGTTAAATGGGTTAGCTTCTTCACTGTACTTCGATTCTCAAAGAAGAAGTCAGAAATTTAAGTTAAACCAACAAGATCACGATTCTTACACCACAACAAGTTACCGTGATCTCGCGTAACTGGAAAAAAAAGGTCTCCCGTGATCACGCGATAGAACGCCCTTGGACGACTGTGACCGTAAAATTGGATTCAGCCAATCAAAGCAAAGGTCACGAAACCAGCGATTCATGCGCGTGAAAACGCCTATAACCACGTTGCGATCTGTTTTGCCTGTTGCATCCCATTGGCTGAGATGGTACCTAGTGCAATAGTGCTAGTTTAATATTATACCACGATAAATGTTCCCTGGGGAAGGTGAGAAAATGTTACGGCCATTGACGGATAGCCGAGTCGTGGGTTAAGATTTTAGAACTTTTTTGATCATAGATGGGAGCATGGTAACCAATCTACCATTACATCATCTTTCAAGAGAGCCTGCGAATACAACCCAGTCAGCGGTTTCGCTGATCCAAAATGGCGGACGCACAAGGCCCCTCACAAGGCGAGAAAGGTTGTTTTCTCGTTGCATCATGTGAACATTTTAAAGAACGGGTGAGTTTAGTGAGTAACGTTTGTTTTTCTTCGTTTTCCTACAGATAAGAAAGGAGAAGGTCAGCCAGTGAAGTCGTCAGGTGCCACAGAAGGAGGAGAAACTGTGAGTACTTGTCTTGCCTCGAAAAAATTTAACTATTCGATATCTAGTAAGTACTTCATTCAATAATTAATTACATTTTTAACTTCGCTTTAAATCTGTTTTGATCGCTACTCGCACTGAAAAATATCTCTTAAAGTTTTGCACACATTCTGAAAAGAAAACTGAAAAATTTTCCAATTAAACAAATAGTCCCAGTGGCGGAAACTTCCTTAGAAGACCTCGTAATATCTACAACGTCAGATTTACCCTATATCGTTATTTTTTATCTTCACCTTTACATTGAATTTGAACTTACAATGCTCTTTCTCTCCTCTAAATTCTCTTGTTACCTTTTTAGCTCCAAAGATCTGATTCTTAATTCTCCCTACTACCAGCTATTTATTCCTTTATAACTAAGTTGGGGGATTTTGGTGTCCTACTAAGATAACTCACTCTAGCTGATAAATTTGCTTAAATTATCATCACCTTTTGTTAAATAATAGCGGAGCTCACAGGGCGTAGCCCCACAATTATACAAAATAGTAGTAACCCATCAAGCCGAAAAAATTGGATGTGCAACTGTACAACTGTATGACTGTACGACCGTATGACCGTATGACCATACGCCCGTACACCTGTACAAGGTGCTACTTTTAACATGTGTGGTCAACTGTACTGCGGGCACACCAACACCACAGCTTTGTTTAGTAGTCCAGTGGTCAGTGTACTGAGCTCTGAGTTGGACAACCCAGGTTCTTCTAGTCCTGGTTGGGGCAAGGTGTTGTTCCCTTGAGATGTGTGGGGAAAAAAAATGCGAGCTCCACTTTTAGGCTTGGCTAAATCTATATATTATTTTTAGAAATTACTTCTAAGGGGGTGTAAAGTTTAGTTTTCATTGTACACACTGTTCTCTTTAGGGTCCTGGTAGTGGCCAATCAAAAAGTCAGCAGCAAGGAAAGGGAGGCAAACAACAAAAAAGTGGCAAGAAACAACAAAAAAAACAAAAACAGAAGCAGCAGCAACAGCAACAGCAACCTCAACAACAACAACAACAACAACAACAAAAGGCTGGTGCACAGCCCAGTGGAGGAAAGGTTGATAAACAAGTGTCTGGTAAGGATGAGAAGCCAGCCACGCCGGGAGGTGAGGTTAGTGAACAGCCACAGAAGACCAAGGCTGAGCTAAAAGCTGAGAGAAGAGCTGTTCAGGTGTGTGGTTGTTTTTGTTTGGTTTTGTTTTGTTTTTTTCATCTTATTGACTTTGTGCTTTTTGTGTTTTATGTGGTGTGTGGTGTGTGTGCACATGATTGGTACCTTACCCTAATTTCCATCATTAATCCCCTCAGAGTGGTTGCCTTATTTTTCTATTTCTCTAAGATTATTAAGAGCAGCTTGTACTCTCTATATTGTTTATAATTACTGTTTATTTATCTAACTGTTTGGTAAAAATAAAGTTGTCATTGTTGTTGTTGTTGTCGTCTTTGGAATACTGTCCGGTTGTTTTATGATTATCAAATGATTAATTATTGCTTTTTCTTGACAACAATGGAAATCATATTCTCCCAAGGATTCCTGAATAATATGTTTGAAGTGCAGGACCCTGTTGTTAAAAGGACGGATACTATTGTCCAATAGATAAGCTATCCAGCAGATAAAAGTCTAAAAAATGTATTGTGGCATCCACTGGATACAGTTAATCCAGCATTCAAACAATTGGGCCCAGGTTGTTATTGGGAAATGTGCTGTTGTAACCTTATTGGTGCTGTTTTTCTCAATTTTCACAGGAAGCGCAACGAGCAGCAAAGGCTCAAAAACAAGCAGAAGCTGGAATAAAACACAAGACAAGCACTGATGGTATTGTAGGAGTTATGGATCATTTTGTTTACATGTTCCTTCTTTGCTTCCTTGTCCTTCCCATCTTTCCCTCTCCCATTTTGATTTTTTTTATTTGGGTGGTATTTTTTGCTCAGTTGATTTTATTCTACACATAAAGAAACAAAATTAAAATAATTAGTTAGAGCTGTGCTCATAAAGAGTTGAGTTCAGGTTCCTCAAATGATTAGGTTTATCTCTTCTCTACATAAAGGTGACTTGTATAACTTTGCTTTTAAGCAAAAACATGGTGTAAAAATCATTTACCCTTTAACCCCACAAACGACCAAGACAGAATTTCTCCTTACAATATCAATATAATATCAAGCAGACGAGTGACAAGAATAAAGAAAAATATCAGGTAGAGGATTATAAGTTGATTCAAAACAAAATTGTATGAGCTAGCATAATGAGAATTGTATGGAAGACATAAAGGAGAATTACCGATGAGATCCTAAGAGTAAAAGAGTGTTAGCTTTTAAAAGCTCAGCACCCGAGATTTTTGACATAGGATCCTTGTTAGTGGTGACTCTTCTAAGAGAACACCTTTGATCAGTAAGTTTGGTTTCAACAATTTGTCTTTGTTTCTTCATCTCTTAATGTATTAATTTCTTTTATTTATGTATGATTAGGAACTAATCGTATGAAAGTGGCTCATGACCTTCAAGCTGATGATGAGAAGGTCCAAAAGAAAGTGGCCAAGAAACTGGCAAGACAGCAGGTCAGAGCGGCAATTATACTACCTAACCTATTGAAAAACTTCACTATGTTAATAATTTCTGTTTCAGTGATGTACATGTAACTCAAGCATGTATGTTGACTTCCTATTTCCTTTTTTTTTAATGCCAGGTTCCCCAGCGAACAACACCTCAAAAGAAAGTTGGTTTATTTTCCCATCTGCATCAATATGAAAAGGATGTGTCCTTAACGCAAGAAATAAGGTTTGTGATTTGTACAAAAGGGTGGATCACTAGATTATAAGTACAGTAGTCTTAGATACCAGCCAAAAGGCCCACACTGTCTGAGTTTATCATGTTTATATGCTGTCAGAGTTTTTCAAGTTTATTAACTTGAAACAACAAGGAATATTTCTACAAACCGTCTCTTTCTGTAAATGGGATGCCTACCTCTAACAGATTAACCCTGGAATATATTAAGGTTTTCTTCTCCCTACCCACTCTCCAATTTTTTTGTTTTTTTTATATCTGTTGGTGCAGATAGGCACTGAGAGTGAAGTGTTTGCACCATGATCTTGGCAAGGACCTGGGGCCAAATCTTTCCACCAGAAAACTGTATCCAAACAAATTTAGTTGTCTAAACTTAGTTGATAATGTGAATTAACCACCAAAGAAAGATTTAACCTTTGACATTTCAAGCTTTATTCCTTCATTGTTGCTCCGACAAAGGGCTAATGCTTCTCAAAATGTCAGCTTTATTCATATTTAATCATAATCTAATTCATATTTATTTATGAACTCAGTTAATAAAACCAATTTTTATTGAAACACCCTCCTTCTCCTCACTCAAGATGCAACACCAGAGTTTCTCCAGAAATTTACTCCCTTTATTCATTGGTTGCATGTGCAAACAGTTGGCCACTGCCAACCCCATTCAGGACACTACTACTTTGCACTGTGAGGTTTGAAACACAACTATCTTTTTTTTTTTTAAATTTTCATTCTGCATATAAAGTTTTGGGGGATCAGGGAGTACCCCCATTCACCCAGCTGTCATCAAACTTGGCGTGCAGTATGCCAAAGGAATAATTTGTGGATCGAATGCAAGATGTGTGGCTTTACTTCTGGCTTTCAAAAAGGTACTTTGACAACATGAACTGGTAACTTGAGTGTTACTGATGTAACTGGTGTGTGCATTTACAATGTACAGTGTGTATATGTGACTGGTCATGCTGTAAACTCTTTTTTCTCCGCTGACAGCATATGTAAGAGATATTATCAAATCATTGAATTAATTTTTTGTCTCTTTATTTTCAACAGCTAATTGCTGACTATGTTACTCCCCCTCAAAAAGAACTCTGCAGGGACTTGGATGCAAAAATTAAACCAAATATAAGGTAATTATTATTTTTTTTTCATACACAATTTTCACTTTTTTGATCGACATATGTTTTATGTTAGACCTGGAAGAAAGACCATTACAGAACATGATGGCTTGTGCATCAACAATCTTTTTTCAGTTTTATATTTTGTTTCTTTTTAGTTTCTTGACACAGTGCCGGCCTCTGTCAGTCAGCATGGGTAACGCCATCAAATATCTGAAGCTACAGATCACTCACACTCCACCAAACATGGCAGAAGATGAGGTAAATTTTGTAGGAGACTTTGTGAGAGATAAGTGGCCAGTTCTGGCTAACATGCAGGACACTAAGTTGAGAGGTCAGGGTTTGAGAACTGAATGCATCATTTTATTGTGTTCTTGGGTAATGCTCTTCACTCTTTAAAATGCCCCTCTGCACCCAGGAGATCTGTAAGGGAAATTCACTGGGGTGTTAGGTTGTTAACTGTAGTGGGAAATGGGGATAAGCTCAGGCAGAGAGGGGCCACTTGGTTCAGTCTTAGGGCTCACCCCTCCTGAGGTGAATCAACTTTAAGAGGCTGGATAACTCTCTTTCTGTCTGTTTGTCTGCCTGTCTGTTGGTCTGTGATCATGACAATTCAGGTGTCAGAGAAGGAATGGGCAAGATTACATGTATATCACACTGTGTGTTTGGGTTAGACTCCTGTATTCTATGCTCTCTCTCTCTCTCTAGACAATTTAACCCTCTTGCAGCATGAAAAATTAAATTCTTGATTTCTTCCTTTTTACTGAAACAAACTTGTCATACATGTATATAATTTACTAACATTGCTGAAAGGTTACTACAAGTAGAAAATCATAACGGGTCTAGTTATTTGCACACACAAAACCTGTTGGATAAAACTCACTTCAGACTATATCACATTTGCAATCATCCTGTTTTTTTTCTGGTATAGGCAAAGAAGAATCTTATCCAGAGTATTGATAAGTTTATCCAAGAAAGAATTATTTTGGCTGGTGTAGCCATCTCTGAGTCATATGCAAGAACCAAGATCAATGATGGTGATGTGATACTCACATATGCTTGGTATGGCTGAATTTTTCTATAGCTGACTTGAGTTACCAGTCTCTCTAAGAGCATCTGTAAATTTTTCATCCACTTGAAAAAGCTGTAAGGAGTGTTTGTACTCCCAGAATCAGTCATTTTAATTTCTTCACACTGATAGCCATATTTTTGCTATAATGATAACTCAACTTCACAGAATTTAGTGCCAGATCTTATCATAACCCCAGCGGATATTATTTTTGATAATTGTCACCTGTCTGTTTGATAATCGTGATGCATTGGTACTATAAGGAAACTTACTCATTTGTCACTCTTGAAAGAAAAAGGCTGAAGGGGTCAAAATTGGCGATCTGGTTACGGTTCTTCGGTCAGAAACCACCATTATATTGGTTTGCAAAAATTTTTTCCTTCCTATAAACCTCAAAAGATTTCTCATCACGCTCACTGCAGAATGTCTACGAAGGGATTCTTCCCTGTATAGTCTATTTCCCAAGCAAAGATAATGAGGAGAACTTTAATGAGGAGAAATTTCTCTTGAATTTTTTTTTTTAGTTCCTCGTTGGTGTTGAAGATTTTAAAAGATGCGCATAATGCTGGGAAAAAATTCCGAGTGGTGGTTGTTGATTCGAGACCAAAGTTTGAAGGTGAGGTTTGCTCACAGTAGTGGCTTGAACTTTTTTGAGAATTGACTAAGACTCACTGCTCAATTTATTCAGAATGAACTTTTACATGTACTTGTAACTCACTTAAACGTGACGAGAAGCTCGAGAATCGGACCCAGGTCACTGCGGTGGGAGACGAGCGCTTATTATTGGGCCCTCCCTGATTGCACATGCGTCATTAAGTCTCAACACCTTTTCACACTGTCACTTGTTTCACTCTTGTTAGGACGAGAATGTCTAAGGAGGTTGGTGAAAGAAGGAATCAGATGCTCCTACGTGTTGATCAGTGCTATCTCGTACGTTATCAAAGAGGTTAGTATTTTTTTGAAATAGTTTAACTACCCTTGGGATGCACTGCAAACTGAGCTTCTAAACTCTTCGTAAGAGCAACATGCAGGCCTTACATGTGTATTAGGTTCATTCATATGATATACGGTATTGTACGTGACTTGGTTGTCTTAGGTATTGTTAGGATCAGCAATTTCTAAAGCGCTATCTGGTGAAATTGCATGAAGGATGATGCGGGAACTTGACGTCCTGGTCGAAATATTGTATTTATTGGTCTAAGCACTCCATTATGATCTTACTTGTCGCTTTGTTCTTCTGTGTTCTTATCGTGTATTTTAAATGTACAAGATCGAAATGTCAGTCGTTAGATGGTTGGGTGATTAGCTATTTTAACTCTCTGTTTTTTTCTATTCGATTTCTGAAGGTATCAAAAGTCTTTCTTGGTGCTCATGCCCTGCTCGCCAATGGCTACGTCAAGTCACGTGTTGGCTCTTCCATGGTGGCGATGATGGCCCAGGCCTCCAACGTCCCAGTGCTGGTATGCTGTGAGACGTACAAGTTCTGTGATAGAGTTCAAACAGATTCTTTTGTTTCCAACGAACTTAGTAAGTAAATGAAAGTTTCTCAGAAAGGTGAACTTCAAGTCTTAGATAGACACGTCTTTTTTTTTTTTTTACCCTTAAACCTCTATGAGTGGATCTTATTTCTCTTCACTCCTGGAGGAGTTTCAATACCTTTTTATAACTGCGGCTGCCGATGGTACAAGAGGCGGCTGTGGCCGGAAAAGGGGCTGGGAGGCGAAAACCAAACACGGGGACCTGCTTGCAAGCGACAGTGGCCAGTGATAAAGGCCAATCCAGGCTAATAATCTTCTCGTTTTTTTTAGGTGACCCGGATGATTTAGTTCCTCTAGACAGAGAAAGCCCGGATGTACTATCTGATTGGCGAGACGTCAACTCACTTCACCTTCTAAACTTAGTTTACGACGTCACTCCTCCTCACTTTGTTTCCATGGTGATCACGGAAGTAGGAAAGATTCCCTGCACGTCTGTGCCAGTCGTTCTTAGAGTCCAGAATCCAGAGCAGTAGTAGGACTCTTTGTGTCATTAAACTGAGGCAGGTTACGTACTTGATCTTGTTAGCGAGAGTTGTCGAGGACACGGATTTTGTTGGAAAAGTTAACAAGCAACGGAACACGTGACGTGATGGCAATTGGAGAGGTTATGCTGCGTTATAATTAGTTGACTTAAATCGGGACTCTTCGGCTCTTCTTCGGAGACTCAAGTTTATGGTACATTTTCTCGACATAAGCTGTTCGTTTGAACGCGCGCATGGCAGAATCTTATTGGATTACACGTTTGCCATGTTGGACCTGACGAATGTTGAGTCCCGAAAATTAACGACAAACAAAAACAGAAGTAAGCTATAACTGTTCAGATTTAATCACTTCAAAATACAAATATGTACAAGGAAATAAACAGCAGCATTTCATGTGTCAGATTTTCCTGAGACAAAGTGTTGCTACTTGGTATGATGTTGTTGCAACACAAGCAGTCATAAGCTGGTTGTTTAGGAGATGAAATAAATTATTTGTCAGGTTGGAAACTCGCATCTCAATATACTTGTATCGGCTGCGTATTTCTTGAATTGCTTTTTTAATCAATTCAAGTGCACACCGTGAGCTTGGGTTGTCTGTGTGCGAGGACAGTTACCTTCGTCCTAAGAGAGCGGTTTTGCTGGCGGTTTTGCGGGCGGTTTTGCGGGCGGTTTTGCGGGCGGTTTTGCGAGCGCACCAATTCTTTGAGCGGTGAAGCCGCAAAAACAAGTAGCGACAGAAGCCACAAGAGGCTTGCGACTCTCCGATGTATGTTAACGCGGATCTGCCTCCTATCATGTTCATTGAGCTCCCTCAAAGATCGCGAACCATCTAAGGTGCTCGAGAACTCTGTTGGAGAATTTTTTATTACTTTTTTGTTTTTCGCAAGAACTCGACGACTGAGAAGAGTATATCAAAACACAACAAATCTGTCCTCCATTCGCTCAATGATCCTTTCCAGAATCCCACAGTAAATTTTTGGCTCCAGCAGATCACACAGCTCTCTATAATCTTGTTTCAATTCCGTCAAGCTAAATTTACGCGCTTCTAAAACACAGGTCGTAATTAGATTTTCCAAGTGGTACTCCTGTGCGAGAATCAACAGAGCTAATACTTGCTCTTTCTTGGAAGCGGATTGCTCAAGTAAAAAATCATTAAAAATGTCTTTTAAGCTCAAAGTACCCGCGAAAATATCCCCAGATGAGGCCATTAAAAAATCCTCGCACTTTTCGAGAAGAAGTCCTATTTGGTATTCATCGGCGAGTTTTAAAAGATAAGAACAGTTTTCGCTCGTTATTGAGCACTCCGCGAGTGAATACACCATCAATAGCAAATCGTGAAACTCAGTTATTTTCTTTCCAGGCATAACTATTTCTCTTTTGTCCTTTTCCGAGAAATTTGATATGAACATTTTCTCGAAGACTGGTGAACATTGTGACAAAACCCATCGATGGACATGAAACCTTTGTCCTTCCACTAGAAATGCCAGATCGCTTGATGCCCATGGTTTCCAAAAGTCTTCTCCCTTGAAGACGTTTTCTTTTTTCATCTTGTCACGGGTTAAATTCAACCATCGTACCAAACAATTTGTTTCTACATCAATTTCTTCCTCTCGGAACATGACTTCGAAGCAAGCCTCCGCTAGTTTATTGTTGATGTTTTTGTTTGTATCTAGTTTTCAACTGGACACGTATTTTTGTGTTAATAATTAATCTTCCTCACGTTCCATCGCTCAGTAACATGATTGGCTAACGTAACAATCGCTTGTCTTCTAAATGATTGAGTGCTCCTTAATGTAACTTGGCGTTAATTACGTTTTGTTCGAGGCGAATGCATTTTCTATTTTGAATATTGATTAAAAACTCTTGCTGATTAGAAGGTTGGCTCTTAGACAATAATTTTCCATTTCTTGGCTGTTCTTCTTTTCACAAATAAAACAATTCTATCAGGATAAATTTTCTGATGTAAAATCTTACGGATCAGTTATTCACCTAAACTTTTATATGCATGAATGTTTTTGTTATATCACGTTTGCCTTTCAGTGATTTGCATTTCGTATAAATTTAAATATTAACAAGAAAAAAGTTTTGTCCTTACGAGCTATGAACATCAACTAAGGCACAACCGTGAAATCCGATACAGTGGCTTGAAAAACACATGCTCAATTTTAACAGGATTCTTAATACACAAAGGAGGTAAGCTGCAAACGGCAAACGGCAAACGACAAACGGTAAAGTTGAAACCGCGATTTCTGGTCGGCGGTCATGTTCTCTCTCTGTCTATTTTCTCCTCGGTGCTTCACCCCTGAATCAAACAGTTGGGCAACGAGAATAACGGAAATGATCCCAAACGAAAGAGACTCTTTACTGTAAAACAAATTACTTTTGTTCTTACCATAGGAAATGTAAAGGGAACAGTATCAAGAATATGTACACCGGTACTGATGATGAAGGTGTAAAGCATATTATATATTATATTCCCAAGATTCTACACTAGTAGTAACAGAGAGAGAAAGAGAAAGATCCGAAACGATGGAGGCGGATTGGGAAGGAGGGTGAGGCGTTAAAGTCGAAAGTTGATGACGACATTTCCACATCCGTGGAAGTTACTCGTTGATTACAATTTAGGCTTTCTTCAAGCTACGAAGTACATTTTGATCTTCAGATATCTTGCAAAAATCTCGGCCACGAAATGACATAAAGTACTTTGATTAATCAATCAATGTATTTAAGGTGGCCGGTATGCTTAGCTAAAAAACTAGTTTACAGGTACGCCACGAAAAAAAAAGAAACATTAAAAATAGAAAAAAATTAAAGCCTTTTGAAGGTGTATAAATTTAAGATAAGTTAAGATTAAAAACTAACTTACATTAAAATATAAAAATTCAAATACTACTTATACTATACTACTAATACTACGAGCTACGAGGTACATTTTGATCTTCAGATATCTAGAAAAAATCTCGGCCACGAAATTACGATGAATTACATCAGGTCGCCCTCTGTACAGCAGTGTATGGAGATGATACCATCTAAGCTGCCTCTTGATCTGAACTCGAGACTATCAAAGGGACACCATCCAATGCCACTTGACGATGGGCGACGCTTGCCTGATTATTAGATGTAATGAACAATATTTTACGTTAGGTGATAGTCATGATTCATCGCGTAGGGACGGGGTGGGG